TCTTTTCTATTGTTTTTGCATTAGACAAGTTTAGGCCTTACCTAATTAACTCTAAGGTTACTGTTTTCACTGATCATTCTGCTGTCAAGTATCTTTTCAGCAAGCCACAATCCAAACCGAGGCTCTTAAGGTGGATGTTGTTGATCCAAGAGTTTGACATTGACATCAAAGACAAACCTGGAGCAGAAAATGTGGTGGCTGACCATCTAAGTCGCTTACCAGAAACTACAAGGGGAGTAATCGGTTCAGATTCTGTTTGTGATGAGTTTAAGGATTGTTCTGTTTCTGCCTTGTCTCTCTTGGAACCTTGGTATTGCCATATTGTCAACTTTTTAGTTGCTGGTCTAATTCCCCCCTCTTTGTCTCATTTTCAGATGCAGAAGATTAAGAGTGAGTCTAAGCACTACATTTGGGATCCTCCAATCCTTTGGAAGGTATGCAGCGACCAAATCATTCGGAGATGTGTACCAAATGAAGAATTTCAAGACATCCTGCATGCTTGCCACTCTCAAACTTGTGGAGGTCATTTTAGTGCTAACAAGACTGCAAGAAAAATATTGGAAGCTGGTTTGTATTGGCCATCACTCTTTAAAGACTCTTATGAGTATTGCAAGAATTGTGACATTTGTCAAAGATTTGGTGGCCTAACTAAGAAACATGAATTACCCCAACACCCAATGCTTTTCTGTGAGGTGTTTGAAGTATGGGGTATTGATTTTATGGGCCCCTTTCTTCCTTCTATGGGTTTTACATACATTCTTCTTGCAGTTGATTACCTTTCAAGATGGGTAGAGGCCATAGCAACCAAAAAGAATGATGGTACTACTGTTTTAAAATTTCTAAAAAATAACATCTTTTCTAGATTTGGCATTCCTAGAGCAGTAGTTAGTGATAATGGCACTCATTTTTGTAATAAATTGCTACAAGGGTTATTCACCAAGTATGGTGTGACACATAAGACATCCACACCTTATCATCCCCAAAGTAATGGGCAAGCTGAAAATGCAAATAGAGAAATCAAGAAGGTGTTGGAACGAATAGTTAAACCATCTAGGAAGGATTGGAGTGCCAGATTAGATGATGCTTTGTGGGCATATAGAACTGCATTTAAAACCCCAATAGGCATGTCTCCTTATAGATTGGTTTATGGTAAGATGTGTCACCTACCGGTTGAGATTGAACATAAGTCTCTTTGGGCTGTAAAAGCATGTAACCTTGATTTTGATTCTGCTGGTATGGAAAGATTATTGCAATTGCAGGAACTTGAAGAGTTGAGACTCGAAGCATATGAAAATTCCAGGTTCTATAAGGAGAAGACAAAGATGATTCATGACAAGCAAATCCTAAGGAAGACTTTCAAGGTTGGAGATAAAGTGTTGCTGTATAAAGCACGATTCACATTTAAACCTGGGAAGTTGAGCACTAGATGGGAAGGACCATACTTGGTCACTAAAGTTCACAAATTTGGCATGATAGAGCTGCTAGATGAGAAGAGCAGTAAGACTTTCAAGGTCAATGGTCACCTGCTCAAAATCTACAAGGAGAATTTTGATCCACCATAATTTCAGGTTGTCCCCTTCCTTACACACTTTAGTCTGTGTTTATTTGATTATTATCATTCTTGAACTCCATTTTTGAGCAAGTGTGGGGGAGGGCATAACTAGTAGCAAGTGTAGGTTGTTTTTAGTTTGTTTTGAAGTGTTCTGTTGTTTCTTTCCATTCCTTCCCTTACCAATTTTTCCTTGCTATCTTTTGTTCAAATTTGCATTGAGGGCAATGCAAGGATCAAGTGTGGGGGAGTGAATGTTGTGTTTTGTGTGTTCTATGTCTTTTGTAGAAGAACCTCAGTTTTCAAAAACTTTTTGAAGGTTTAAGCTTGCTTCAGGATTTCTAATGTTACATTTGTGACTGATTTGATTTAGAAATTAATATCTTGAAGTGAAATTTTCTAATGCATAGAGATTAAGCATGATGTGTTCTTTACCTGAGGTGAATGAATATGGAAGACAAGCCTAGTTGGAAGGATTCTTTGAGCCTTTATATTCATTTCTGGTGTGTGCATTCACTTAGTTCTTATACTCTCTAGAACTTGTCTTAGTTCTTAATCAAGACCACATGTAACATTAGTATTCTTGAACATGATTGAGGCATTCATTCAATTTAGCTACTTAGACCAAATGGCCAACCCCTGCATGATTTATCCCTTGTTACCCATTTGAGCCTTTTTAGCTGAATTTTTCCATTCATTTCACTCTCATTTATAAAACCTCTTTCCTACAAGGATGCATATTTCATTTCATTAATTCCTTTTAGAATTCACTAGCATTTTGATGGATTCAATTGATGGATTGATATGAGGAGATGCATACTTGAACTTAAAAGAAAGAAAAAAAGAAAGAAAAAAAAAAACAAAAAGAGAAAGAGAATAGAAAAGTTGAAAAGAAATAAAAAGGCAAGAAAAGAAAAGAAAGTGGGAATAAAAGCACCTTTATAGCTTTAGACTTCAAGATCAAGAAGTCAAATCCTCAATTGAATATTACTAATGCTATTGAATTCTACACATTGATTCACATATTATCTCTATCCTTCTATGCATTCTTGTGCATTTCTTCCTCACCCTTACATTACAAGCCACAAAAGTCCTCTTGATTCTTGAGTACTTATGTACTTAGGTGGTGGAGTGGTAGAGCTATTACAAGCATATGGTAGAGCATTTGAATAAGTGAGTTGAGTGAAAGAACCTTTGATACTTGTTAGTTGAGCGATACACTAATTCCCTTGTGTGGTCTTCTATATCTTATTCACTTGGATTAAATTACATATCATTGCTTGGTTTCTTTGCATTAGAATGTTCCATGGATGGATATTGGTTGAAGAATCATTGTTGGTTGCAGTTGTAACCTGAACTTTTGAACTTGCTTATTCCTTTCTTGCATCCTTCTCTTTCACAATATGTTTAGACTTGAATTGCCCAGGAGTGCAAAAGCTAAGTGTGGGGGAGTTGATAAGTCTCATTATTTACATACATTTCTAGCCCTAAACACATACTTTTGCGATCTATATTTACATACTTTGGGCATAATTAGGTTCCATTGTGTATAAGAGTTGGTGAGAAGAATTATGAGGTTTTGCAAGTGTTTTTACATGTTTTTATATGATTTTATTTGTGTGTACTTTTGATCCCTGCTTTGGCATGAATTTCAGGAAGTTTCAGTAGCATTTTCGCCATTCTGTCTGAGGCGCCGCGGCGGATTGACGGAGGCGCCACGGCGGATTTCCAAGGTACTCTCGGTGAAAAGCGCCGCGGCGGATGGACTAAGGCGCCACGGCGGACGGAGGTTTTCATGAAGCTCAGGATCATTAATCAAAACGACGCCGTACAGGACAGGAGCCGCGGCGGATTGACGGAGGAGCCGCGGCGGATGACCGAAATTTCCAGATTTAAAAGCTGAAGTCGCGCGCTTCAACAGGAGGATCAGATTTCAGTTGCTCACTCTCCCTCCAACGCGATTTTCTTGCTCTCTCCGCCCTCTCTCATTTCTCTCTTCCATTTTCGTCCAATTCCATCAATTTCCACCGATCAACCATGGATCTTTCATCAATTCTTGCTGTTTCTACCCTAATCCAGAGTATGAGTAGCTGAATTTCCAAGTTCTTCTAGCAATGAAGCTGACCTGAGTTCATGGAGCTAAACAGGGAGTCATTTCAGATCTATTTTCTACCTTCTATTCTAAGAGTCATCTGTTTCAGTTGAACAATTGTGATTAGAATGAAGATTGAGTGATTAGATTTATGTTTCTTGGAATTTAGATCTGATTGAACATTTAGATGTGAGTTGTGTCCTTTAGTTCAGTTGAATAGAGGATTCTCTGTTGATTTGTAAATCTAATTCGTTTTACTTGGACTGTTGTTCTGTAAATCTGAATTTTGGTTGAATATGTTGATGATTCACAGTTGTGGTCATTCTTAGAGAATTGCAACTTGCTTCTCAAGTGTTCTTGTCAATTGATTTTCCTTCTCATAGATCAAAATAATGAATCTAGTAAGATAGTTGTTTCTGATCTATGTTAAGAGAGATTTGAGCAGTAGCTGAATCTATCCATTTAATTGACACTAAGAGACTCCAAATTATAAGATTGAACAAGGAAGGTTGGATAAATTGCTAGGGGAACTACTATCTCTCATCTGAATCTCATTTGCAATTTACCTTTCATTAGATTTGTTTCTTGTTTTGATTTCTCTTTTTCTGAACTAAAGCTCTCATCTTGGTAATTTGATAATTAATAGTGAATTGTTAAGAATTGAAATACAACTTAAGGCTCCTTGTGAAGAATGACCTAGGTAGTGCCTCACTTGCTGCATTTTCCCTAGTAAAACTTTGATTACCTAGCGACAAGGTATATCAGTTGCTTTGGGTTGTGACCCTAGATAATTTGGAATGGGCTTTTGCCAGTGGATCTATTAATCGAGTTATTGTAAGTAAATTCAGCTATAAGCAAGACTAAATCCCAGTTACCGAGCTTATCGCCAACTAAACTACGGAGCAGGTCACCTAAGCTATGGTTAGTCACTTCAATCTGTCCGTCAGTTTGAGGGTGGGAAGCAGACAAGAACTTCAGTTGCGTACTGAAGAGCTTCCAGAGGGTCTTCCAGAAATAGCTGACAAACTTGACATCCCTATCAGAGACGATAGTGGTAGGCAGACCGTGAAGACGTACATCTTCTCAAAAGAAAAGCTTGGCCAGATGTGAGACATCAGTAGTCCTACTACATGGGATGAAATATGCCATTTTTGAGAATCGATCAACTACAACCAAGACAGAATCATGCCCTCGCACTGTTTTTGGCAACCCAAGCACAAAATCCATACTAATGTCCTTCCAAGGTGCCTCAAGAACAAGAAGAGGCATGTACAACCCAGTATTCCTCTTCTTTGCCTTTGCTGTATGGCATGTACGACACTAGGAAAGGATTCGAGCAACATCATGCTTAAGGGAAGGCTAGTAGAACCTGTCTTCAACCATAACCGTAGTCTTCTGAATGCCGAAGTGTCCGGCTAGCCCTCCCGCATATAATTCCCAAATGAGAAAATTGTATAGTGACATGTGGGGAATACACAACTTAGACCCACAGAATAGGTAGCCATCATTGATCAGGAAATTCACATGAGCTTGGTGGTTGCTATCTTTAACCTTATCATAAATGATGCCAAAGTCAAGACACGAAGTGTACTTGTCCTTGAGCCTATCAAATCCCACAACATTAACTGTTAAGGTGTTCAAAATGTGGATTCTCCAGCTAAGAGCATCAGCTACCTTGTTCTCTATCCGTGGGCGGTGCTTAACCACAAAGGTAAATTCCTGAATGAACTCGCTCCCCTTGGCATGTTTGAGCTTTTACATGAGGAGATTGGAGCCAGATTCAAAGTCAATAGCCATCTATTGATGCCTTACCATGAGAATCAAAAGCCTTCTTAACTCCCAGGTTGTTTCTTATTCAAGCTCTACCATGAGAATCAAAAGCCTCCTTAACTCCCAGGTTGTTTCTTTCCTTTACTCATTTACTTACTTTTGCCCTATTATTGCTTGTGATATATTCTGTGTATTGGTATGCTGATTGAGTGTTGCGGAGAAACTATCTCAGTAGTATAGTTTTAGTATAGTTAGTAATTTTTCTATTAAATAAGATTCCCTTCTTGACTTCGATCTCTGCTCTTCCTCCTTGTGTGCTGAATTGTTTTAGTATGGCAAATTGACAAATTAACTATTTTTAATTGATGAAAAAAGTTTGCTGCCCTGTTTTGTGTTTTGTGCTATCTTATCATGAGCTTATTGAGCACCTTTTGATCTCATTTTGTACACTTAGAAGTTTCTAAGGTATCCAACTAGTTCCATTGTTTGTGTGCCTCTGTTACTTTTCTGCTGTGTTGTTTCTGCTTATTTTCTTGGTGTCTCGGGCCACCTTCACCGCAACAAACTTTTGCTTACTCCGTGGCGAAGCTGGCTAATATCTATGTGTTATTCTTGGGACAACTTTGCCCCGGTGAACTTTTGGTTTCGTCTCGGCCAAGTCCCACGGTCTTGGTTGTGCTCCTCTCATGATACTTTCGCCACGGCATGGTCTCCACTTCGCCATTGTAAAGTCCCCTCTCTTTGTTTTCTTGGCCTCTCGGGATGATTTCGCCATGGCAAACGTCACCTTTCGCCACAGCGAATGTTGGATTATGCGCATATTTGTTCACCCTTAACCCTATTTTTCAAAGTGTAATTACCATTCTGCCCTATAATTGCCTACCTATTCAATTGCATTAACTCTATTTTTGTCTTTTCACTTCCCTTTAACCCTTCGCCCCTCTAAACCCCCATCTGTTACTTTTTCCCATTCAAACCATCATCCCCTCCCCCCTCTCCACACTCTTCTATATCTTAATTTCCTCTTCTTCCTCCTTCCTCTGCAACATTCAGCCGCAGCACCCCCTCGTCTCTCTGGTCTCTTTTTTATTCCTATTTATCTCTCTTGCTTGCTTTCTCCTTGGTTGCTTTGCTCAACTCTCTCTGCATAGATTTCCCCCCTGTTTTAGTAAGTTTCTTCCTTTCTTCTTCTTTTTCCTTTGCTCTTTCTTTGTTCTAATTACGTTTTCTATTTAGGGTTTGTTAGTTTTTCTATTGAGCCCCTTTAGTTTCTTATGGGGTGGGCTTGTTTTACTTTCAGTTTTCAGTTACGTAGCCCTTAGGCTATCTGTTGATTATAGTGCATTTTGTTTTTCTGTGATTCTACTGTTCATTTGTGAAAATTTTTGGTAAATTAAAAACCTATGAATCATTGGATAGCCATTTGCTACTCGTAGGTTGTTTATTTTGGTTTTTTTGGGGTAGTTTTCATTGTTGTCTGTTTGGAGTTTGTTTAGTGTGTTTTGTGTGTTGTGTTCAGAGAATTCCTCGTACTAAGAACCCTGCACTGGTTTCTGAATCTGATTCTAGGGATGAGTATACTTTTAAGGAGCTATATGAAAAGACTGATCAGAGATCTCTTCTTAAGGAGTGACCTTTTCCCTTAGACCCCCCCAGATAACTCTTTTGTCCGCCAACTCCAAGCATCCCAATTGACCGGTTTAGTCCAGGAGCGTTCTATGGGCAATGACGCTTTTGGTCGCCATTTCTACACCTATGCCCGATTCCATGGTTCCATGATCATTGAATTTCGCAATATCCGTGTCCACTATTCTTTTACTACTGAAAACATCAGTTGCCATTACCGCCTTCCACCTTGTCACCATTCCGATTATTCTGAATATAGAGATAACTATACTTTTGACAACGTTGTCCAAACCCTGTGTCATGAAGGTGCCACTTGGCATCGCCCTCGCACTATAGAACAATACCTCAAGTGATCTGAGTTCCGACCTGAGGCTCGTCCCTGGCTGTACTTTGTTTGCAATGACCTAGTACCCACCACCTACATAGCCAACGTCCCTAAATGCCAAGCCTAATACATCTACCTTCTCATGACTGGCCAATCATTTGACATAGCCGACACCATTTACTCAGCTCTCCATGATGCCATCAACACCCCCAAACTCACCAACAACATCATTTTTCCCTACTTAGTCACTGACCTTTTTCACGCTGCCAATGCCCCTGAGTACAACAATGACAGTTGCTTCGAGTCAACCCCTTTATTTCAATACAACCGCCTTAAATAGCCTGTTTTGAAGTGTTCTAGCAGGTATGATCAACAAAATTTCTTTCCCCACATGATAAGCATTTCGTCCAACACCCAAATAAGAAGAGAAACAGAAATTTTTAACCATACAAAGAAAGAAAACAAGGCAAGGATCCATCTAGAACCAAGAACTAACCTTGAATCCTTGGTTGTATGATCAAGTTGGTAGCTTTTCCCCCTTATTTCTCTTTGAACTTTCTCTTTTCTCTCTTGGTTCCCTCTTGGCCGAACTCACCATCTGAAATTAGGGGAAGATGGGCTTGTTTAATTAGCCAAAATATCCCAACCACTATCATAAATGAAATTCCAAGTGTCATTACCCCCTTTAATCTTACTTTCTCTTTCATAATTAACTAAATCCAAATGAAATTAATTATCAAAAGTCAAAATCCTCTCCATTAGGGACTTGACACATGGCTACTTGTGAACGATTTGAATTGCAAGACTCTAGTCTTGCTTTATCAGTGCACTTTGACTCTGAGTTTAACTTCTTTTCTATAATTACAGTATGTTGGCCTCTATAATTATTTTTTATCAGATCCCTAATTTATTCTCCTTATGTTTATCATTCCAAATTGCCCTCTTTGTCTCAAAATTAATTTCCCAATAATTAAATAAAAAGGAAAACTAATTTCCTTCTCTTTAGGGTTTTTCCACTTTTCTAAGGAATTGGGAAAAATCTTGGATACTTGAGGGTCTTTATTTAATTCCATAATCTCTTATAATTCCTTGGGATATCATAGGAATTTTCTTATAATTTTATTCTCCTTAAAAATATTTATTTGGACTTTTCCAAATAAAATCCCTTAAATTGGCCTAAATCACCCTTAAATTCTTTTGTAATTTCTTTAAGGGTAATTTGGTCATAAAACCAATTTTATAATCTCATATAATTCTCAAAGGATATTATCTTTATTTTGTCTTAATTTTCTAAGGCTTGAAAATATTATTCCATAATTATATTTGACCAATTTTGCTTTATTTAGTCAAATTTTCATAATTGGCTTGGAAAATCATAATAATTATTTTCTGCCAAAATTCTTCTATTCCTCATCATTTTTTGCTCTTAATCATTTTAAAGTATTTCTTATTCCTAATTACCATAGTACTGGATGTGACACTTTAGAACTAAGCAATTGTGTGCATTTTTGAAGTTATTGAAGTTAATTTCTACGGAAGTTTGAAAATTGCACTGCATTTTGTCTTCCTGTCAACTTTCACCACGACAAACTCTAACCTTCACCATGGTGAAGTGCTTCTTTCTCATCCATTTTCACTTCTCAGCCATACTTCGCTGCGGCCAACTTATGGTTTCGCCACAGCAAAGCAGGCCTGTTACTAGGTCTCCTTTTTCAGCCAATGTTCACCATGGCACACTCCTTCCTTCGCCGCGACGAAGGCAAAAAAAAAAAAAAACCCAAATGCTTTGCAATTTCAATTTTCGTCCTTCAGAAATTCTCTCGGTTTAGATTCTTAATACTCCTGCATTTTTAAAAATTGTTAGAAAATTCAAATTATACTTGTGCTTTTAGAAAACTATCCATGCTTTTAAATTATGGTTGAACTTAGGCTAGTCATTCTCCACTATTTTTGGCAAAGAGTAAATGAGGGTATACTTAGAAAATAGGATTATGTGTTTTTTAACCTTGAGATTGATTAATCGAGATATCAGCCTTGTTGGAAGGATATTTGGGCCTGAATTTGTTAAATTGTGTGAATTTGTTTAGTTTCACATTTCTCTAGAACTTGTTTTAATTCTTAATCGAAGCTTGATGAATCAACATCTTGTGAACATGACAGAGGCATTCATTTCCAAACCCTTTTACCCAAACACAAGCCTAAACACTTAACCATTACTAACCCCTTTGGACCTTCACTTTGAGTACATGCATACAAATAAATTGTAAATATTTTATTCTATTTTGGCCTTGGTTTTATGTTATTGAAAAGAAGAAGAAGAAGAAGAAGAAAACTGTGAGAAAAACCAAAGAAAGGAATAAAATAAATAGTGATAAAAAAAGGAGAGAAAAAAAAGAGAGAAGGGGAGTTGGTATCTTAAAAAAAAAAAAAATTAACCCCTTTCTTCGGGAACATTTATGTTTGTTTCGTGGATAGAATAACTGTTATGCTTGTACTCAATTCCCTTTCTCTTTTATTTTCATCCATTTCACTTAACCACTCGCCAACATTTACAAACCCTAAAGTCCTCTCGATTTGCAATTTGCGGTTCTTATGGTAGAGAGGTAGAATTATCACAAGCTTATGGTAGAGATTGGAATGAACAGAGTTAGAGTGAAATAATCCCAAGACAAGTGAGTTGAGAGCTAAACACATACCCTTGAGATAAATCTCTTTTGCTCAATCTTTTGGATTAAATACCCATAGTGTTTACTTTCTTAGCATATCATTGCTTTACTGTTGTCAATCTCCGTGGGAATTTCTTACAATTTTCTACTCTCATCTTTAAGCATGTTGGTATTTCTCATTGTACTGGTATCGTTTTGAATTATTTTTGGGCTTTGTCCAGGAGTACAAAAGTCTAAGTATGGGGGAATTTGATTAAGCTCAAATTGTTTATATTATTTGATGGCATTTTTCTAGTTTTTGTTACACTTTTAGGCTCATTTGAATGATATTTGTGCTTAATTAAGATTGAGAGTCTTTGCTTTAAGATAGTGTTATTTGAGGGTAAACTTGTCATATTTATTTATTAATTGCATTCAATTGATTTTTGGGACAATTCATACCTCAAACTATTTCTTTTTATTTTAAGACACTCAAGAATAAGAGCCAAGAGTGAAGACTAAGGAAGCACAGCACACAAGACGCAACAACACCATTGCCAGGTTTCGCCGTGGCCAACTCATGTTTCGCCGTGATAAAGCAAGGATTTTTCCACCTAAAGTTTTCTCTAGGAAGGTTTGTTGTGACCACGAAGTGATTTTGCTGCCGCGAAGACACAACATCAAGCAGAAGTCTTCTCAGCCATTGCTCGCCACGGCGAACCCCTCAAATCAGCAACCCAGACCCATATCATTTTCAGAAGTTTTACCTACCCACTCACACAAACCGACCTAGTACACCTCATTACCAGTTTAGAAACCCTATTTTCGTGCAAGTGACATCACACACTTAGACCATAGCCTCCATCTCTGTTCTCTCTCATCTTTCTCTCATCTAACCCTAATTTCTTCCATTTTCCACTGTCAAACCTCCACTATAGGAAGCTCAGATTCATTCCTAGTTGAGATGCTTCAGATTTCTATGTGTTGCCAGGCATTTTTCCTTCCTCTTGAAGGTATAGCAATGGCTAGAGTTTAATAAGCTAAGAAGGGGAGTAGATTTATCCTAGTTTAGCTATGACTTTATTAATTTCTAGGTTTAGGATTTGTAATTTGTAGCTGAACTACCTGATCATAGTTGTAATCAACTTTGGATATTTATTTGTGTAGTGGATTGGTTAT